CCCCCCCATATATATATATATAGATATATATATAGATATATATATAGATATATATATAGATATATATATAGATATATATATATAGATATATATAGAGGTTTTATATATACATATATGTACATATATATGTATGTTAAACACATCAAACGGTATATTTATTCATATATAGAACACGAGTATGACATATTATACAATAAACTATCTACATATTATGAAAGATATTTTATATTATAACATAACTCTCAACTTTTTCAATTGATGATTTCGTGTTCTGCAAGTGTTGATAAAGCTTGAAAGTTTAACTTTTTAATTATTTTCAATTTTGTTGTGTAATTATTTTATGTCAACATATCCACTTAATTTTATGTCACAATAAAAGTGTCATCATTAAGCTGTACAAAAGGGCTTTATATATCAATAAATCATCGATTCCTACGATTTTCTGTGATTTGAAATTAAAAAAAAGCTAGCACAATTTCAGTCGTTATCAGAGAAAGCGGCCTCTTAGATTTAGTTGAGTTAAACTTCCCTCGTTCATTCTGTTCGGCTGTGGTGTAACATATATATAGCTGAGTATAACTGTTCTTCCCGCAATAAATTTGTCAAATCGGTGAACTCGCTATCCTATACCTTAATGTAAAGTTCAGTTTTTAATTAAACTTAAAGACATTTTGATAAAGTGTTCTGGCTATATTTGTGTTTTCCATTTCTACATGTGTACAAAACGTATTAAAGATAACTAAGCTGGATTTGATCTGAATATTTAGCGCATGTATATGCACTGTTAGGCATCTTTTTTCTATAATATGTGATTATCTGACATTTGTCCTCAGACTGCATCCTTTTGTTAAGTCCCCTATAGACAAACATGCCTTAAAATATCTTTTACAGGGCCGTATGACAAAATGTCCGATGACGTTGAGTTTGGGGCGGACATATGTCCGATGACCTTCAGTTCAGTTTTGACTCGGAAATAAGTCTGAATGCCGACTCAAATGATTATCAGCAGAATGTATTAATTCTGAACGGTAAATGTTGTGAAGATATTAAATAATTTGTTTCTTTCATACTTATTTCCAAGCCAGTAAAAGACTTAGACAACTTAAGCCCGTTTTCCACTTCACCATGCATTTCGCTCCCAGCCCCGCGCTCGACTACGTTAAAACAAATTTCCAGTTCACCTTTTATACATGCAATAGTACTCTGATTTTCCATCTAACATATGAGCTTCTAGTCCCAGGATAGGGTACATTTTGATTTACATGCATTGGACAAAGCTACACTTCAGTCAGACACAAATACACTCAGGTCAGACAAGCATTAAACGTCAGTTTCACTTTGGTCGGACAGAATGTCCGGTGGTTTCCTCTCTACGTCGGACAATTTCACGAATGAGTCGGACAATGTCCGTGACCGACCGATATTTTAAGGCCTGCAAACACGTTTTCCTTGACAAGTTTACTTTCTCGTGTGTACGGTCAACAAGGTTTCCATAACAAGTTTTGTTGCTCATTGCACAGAATGTTGTTAAACATTTATCTATGCACGTCAAGGCCGCATTTTCATGATTACCAAAACTATAGAAGTATTTTTTGTACACTTGTCACGTTTTCCTTGGCGACCGTAAACACGAACAAATTTTCCTTGGCCAAAACCTGGCATGACTATAGAGCTTTGGAACAAGGCTCCTTGACCTTGGTAAGAAAAAAATTGTCATTTTTTGAGCAAATAAAACTTATCAAGTAAAACATACTCGTTTGTATGGGTCTTTACATAGTGCAAGTTGCGTTCCTTAAAGGACATAACCAAAATCTCTTCATTCCGATATGAAGCTGTCAAGGTTTACATATTATATCCATATCACAATCTCATTTTAATTACTTTATTTGTTGATTTGTTTCAAATTTATCTCCACGAGCAGCTGCAAGCGTCGAAAATCCGTTATTGTGTTTTTATTACTCCCTGTAGTGGACACCTCTACTTTTCATCAATTAAAATCATTCAGACATTTCAGACACAAACCACGGCAGCTTATTGTAGAATACTACCTACTCTGGATCACCACACGTATAGATATCTTTTTTCAGATAGTTCAGACACAAACCACAGCAGCTTATTGTATAGAATACTATACCTACACTGGACTCCACGTTTGAGATATTTTTCAGGTAGTTCAGACACAAACCACGACAGCTTATTGTATAGAATACTATACCTACACTGGACCCCACGTTTGAGACATTTTTTAGGTACAGTAGTTCAGACACATATTTGAGAACTGTACTCCTTATAACTATATCCGGCTTACCGGCCTTTCATTGCATTGGTTTCTTAATCAAGTTCTTCCATATCAAATTGCTGCTGGCCATCTACCACTGGAGGCTCAGGACATTCCTCAAAATTGAACACGCCCAAAAGACGGTCAACATCGTCTTCGTCATCAACAGCGTTGCTAAGCAACGAGTGAAGGTCCTTTTGCCGAGAGGATAACTGTCTTTTTAACGATGGATTGCACTTTACTAGACTGGAAAAATATAGATGTTAGTTAGAAGTTAATACTTTATCCAGCAAAGACATTTCTTCTGAAAACGTAGACCGTGTTGAGTTAGCCATACCTGGCTATACAGAGTAAAACAGGGAAAGTAGAGGTTAAGTTAATAGAGCTGAAGAATACTTACACTAAAAGTAAAATCAGCGCAACTAATGTCCATTCAGAGGGTTTCAAAACAATGTTTGTATTTGTGAACCTGAAACATATCGGAGATAAATCATCATCACCGTCATCGCCATCATTATCATTATCATCATACAACCACCATCCTTATCATTACCATCATCATCACCATTACAACTGCCATCATCACTTTCACTATCATCACCATCATCGTCATCATCACTATTGCAATTTTTGCCGGATCTTCTTCTGATGGATGAGAATGAGTCGATGAGTTATGAATGTTCTGATTACCTGTTCCTTCATCTGAGCATTTATAACTCATCCACTCCTTCACATCCATCAGAAGATGAAAATCACCCTAAAACTCGAAGTGCAACGTGCCTTAATACATTAACACTATCAACATACCTAAATGTTTTGAGTATACAGATCAGTTGAGATGACGTGTCCGCCTTTGTGAGACTAAGTTTGGAAAGCATTGGAGACATTCTAAACAAGAAAAAATGTGAGCGTTTTGAATACTTTGCGCTGGTGTTACATCTGAAGCGGATGGTGGTGACACAGTGATTGCTGCCTGTGTCTTGCACTTCTGTGTGGAAGGAGTTCGCAGTCTGAGAAGAATGCAAGTTTGACTTTACCAAACAACGTAGATTTTCTCCTGTTACTCGTGCAATCACTGCCACACCTCCATTGCCACTAATCTCAGCATCACCGGACAAATAAGAGATGATCCTTAAGCCCTGGGCAAACTAGGACACATTGTTGCGGAAACATTGTTTCCTGCCAATGTTTCGCCATGTTTCCCAGAGTGGGCAAACACTAGGGAACATTAGTGAGAAACATTAGTGAGAAACATAGGGAAACATTTCTGAATTCGCTAGGAAACATTTTTGCTTCTCCGGAAGCAAATTTTGTTTCCGCAACAATGTTTCCACGGTTGGGCAAACAGGGAAACATTTGAGGAAACATCGAGAATCACAAATGTTTCCACAACAATGTTTCCTAGTTTGCCCAGGGCTTTACTTAACCTTTGGGGACAACAGTCCGGAACTAACATTCTCACTTACGCTTTTGTCAGTTTTTCAGAAACAATTTTTCCACGTATCGCCATTTGACTTTTGGAATCGATAGAAGGAAGCATTACACTCTTCGCACTATCCTTCGTTTCTTCTATGGCTCCATAGCTCTCTTTAATATCATCAAACAATCCACTTTCCGTGTTCCTGATAGAGTTTGCTAAATATTTCTTAGTCTCGACACTAAACCATTCTACTAACACCCGATGCACCTTACCAACACACTGCTTTCTTGTCTGTTGTTCCTTTTCACTCCCTGTTTGTTCTGTACATTCAGGACCGCCAGAATTTGTGTCAGAGGAAACTTGTGGGTTTTCTACTTTAGGGATATTTCTAGTCTGATTTTTCGACTGATTTGAGGATTCGTTATTCGAGTCTACTTCTATTTTCATTTTAGTACTTCTTATATCATCATGAACACAACTATCTGAATTTTCGGTTATTGTTTCTTTGTTATTATCTATCTTCTTTTTATAGTCAGCACAATGATCATCACAGATATTATCGATATCATCATCATCATCATCATCATCAGAATCAGTAAAATCAAGATCAATTTTAACATTTCCAATACGTTCAACTACACAACCCAAATCACTATTATCGAATCGAATAAGTTTGTGTATGTTGTTATATACGTGATTATCATCAATATGTTCGTGTTCATTATTAACATCTTCGTGTTCATCATCAACGTTTTCGTGTTCATTACCGATATCTTCATGTTCACCCTCAACGTCTTCGTGTTCACAATTATCGTTTTCGTGTTCAAAATGAACGTGTTCGTTTTCGTCATCATTGTGGTCGTTTTCATATTCAACATCTTCGTGTTCATATTCAACGTCTTCGTGTTCATATTCAACGTCTTCGTGTTTAACACCAGCGTGTTTGTTTTCATCACAGTTTTTTCGCGCATTCATGAGAACTTCTTCACCAGAGCCTGAAAATCTTTAGAATAAAATAGAAATGTTTAATCTAAAATAAACGATGTTTTCTGAGTGATAATTACAATTACTGTAGCTACTAATGAAAACATATCAATAAGTTATAAAAACTGAGTTTTTATAAATTGTGTGTTATTATTATGCACTCCTTATTCGGAATAACTTTTATTCTATATTTGCTGAAATTATCAGCCGGAAAAAGAATACTGAACATATACTTTAAATTAAACTTATTTCTATAATATACTATAATCGTAAAATTACTTTTTCGTCAACTCTTCACTGTCTTCAAGTAATTTCAACCCAGGCAACTTGCTGAAGAGTAAAGAGTAAAACGTAGATGAAAATAAAACATTGACAATCCAAAGGGTATCTTACAGTATATGACCATGCGAACAGATAAATAGGAATTGAACAGCATACAATTAGCACTAACGTTTTTCCCCTCATCCAAACAGGTTCTGCAGAGAGTTGAGATTCAAAATATTTCGATGCTTTGTAGCACTGGTTATTGCAAAAATGCTGGAATGGATAAGTCAAAATATAGTTAATTAATGTTATATTGTTGTTATTATTATTATTGCTGCTGACTTTGTTGTTATTTATTGTTGTTGTTACCGTTGTTTTTATTGTTGTTGTTGCTGTTATTGCTGTTGTATTTATTGTTGTTGCAGTTGTTTTATTGTTGTTGCAGTTGTTTTATTGTTGTTGCAGTTGTTTTTATTGTTGTTGCAGTCGTTGATGATGTGTTGTTGTTGTTGTTGTTGCAGTTGTTTTTGTTGCAGTTTGTTTAGTTATTGTTCCAGTTGGTGATGTTTTTATTGTTGTTGTTTATGTTGTAGTTGTTGTTTATGTTGCCTGTTTTTTGTTGTTATCATTTTCTGTTGCAGTTGTTATTATCACTGTCAGCAGTTAGTTTTGTGTGCTGTTGTTATTATTGAAGTGAAGCACGAATTATGAATAACGTGAACAGATATTCATAGGACCTTTCTCTCAGTTATGTCGTATACTTTCTTCTCTCTAACAGATATCTTGTATTTCTGCTTCAAGATCTTAAAATAATCAATAGATAAAAGATAAATATAACACAAAAAGGAAAAAAAAAATACCTGGGTTTCTTATTTCTCATTGCAAAAACTTAGGTAGGTTACAGTAGGCAGGGTTTTTTTTTGCAATTAAAAAAAAAAATTTCCGCTCTAACCAGTAAGCACCTGAAACATGTTTGACATTACTAAAAAGTATGTACCTGGGTTATGCGATTATTACACAAAGGATATCCACAAAGTTTAGTTATCGCCCTCTCTTCTGTCACATCTTTGTATTGAGAGACTGTGATGTATGTACCCTGGTAAAAGATTGAATTACAGGGTTGTAGCTTTTCTTCTCATTTTTATAAACAAATAAATTTAAGAATTAGGGATATATCATTATACAATTCAAGAATTATCTGTCTCAAACCATTAATAATTTATGACAAAAATACAAAGGAAATGGTAATAAATGCGGAACTGTGGTAATAAATGCCCAATCTACTAAGTTGCATTGCACCTTACTTTATTATTTTACTCTGTCTAATGACAGATGATTTTACTGAAGGGGAGGGTGCTGGTGCTCAATGGGTTAAATATTAACATTGTGTTGAATTTCTCTTCAAATAATGGTTCATTTAAGAATTTATACCATGCACTTAAAACCATACAGACGATACAGTATATTATGGTAATTTATAGGACCACATTCAAAACATGTTTTTAAAAATTGGCTAGTAGGTGTCTCAACAATCATTCTTGTGAACAATATATAACTTGAGAAATATTTTTTGTAGCTGTTATCTTTGTTGTTTTTGATTTTTGATGTTTACTGTGGTTGCCTGATGGTATTGTTTTTCATTGCTGTTGTTATTGTTTTTGTATAGTTGATTCAGGGGTCATGCCATCTGTTTCTTTTCTGCTGTTGTTGCCTGCAATCATTTCAACCTATTTTTTTTTTAACTCACTGCATTAAGAAAGAACTCTTTGTCAACAGAATCTAACAAAACCATTTTCTCCACAAGACGAAAGGCGTGTTCCTCCTTGTCCACTCGTTCTTGTACGGCTGCTCGTAATTTCTCTTTTTTGCTGACAACATAAACAATATAGTGATCAATGTCAAGTACATATGATTGCATCAGAAACCTGCAGATTGAGAGGAATTTAACTACCCTGACTAATTTCCCAACAAAAGGCCCTTGCTAGAAACATTGAAGTTTTACTTGTATTTTTCAAGTGGTTGAACCCCCCTTAATCTACAGTTTTCGAGTATTATTATCACTACCTATGGTGGCACAGGCCATTTGAGTTTATATGATAGCATGCCTGCATGGAAAATTTGATGTGTACCAGTAATCTGGTAGGGTAACGATTGTGTAATAATGGTTAGGGACCATCAACAAATAGATTTGGTTCTGCTGCACAGACTTGGTCAGCAATGTCTTTAACCCTCTCTGTCATACCCTATAGCAGGCCATTTAGTGTCTAGTTAACCCAGAAAAGTCAGTTTTCAGCCCAATAATTAACCCGAGAATAGTGCTTCCAGCCTTCCACAAAACACAATGGATTTAACTTCTACAGTTCCACTATCGCGCTACCTGGCAGGTTTAATACACATTCGATTGGTTACTCTGGTAGAATGAATACATCTGATTGGTTAATGATAACGGTTGTCAAAATCTGAACCTCTCTAGCTACTCTTTAAATAAAAAACGGCCATGAGCCATCATTCATTCATGTCATGCCACCAGGGTTGGATAAAAGAAGATTTTTATGAGAAAAAAATCTTCTTTTTTCTTTTAGTACTAAAAGAAGATTTTAAGTACTAAAAGAAGATTGTTGACATTCGAAAAAAAATACGATGATGACGTCACAATGTGACGTAATTTTTAAATTTCACTATTGAGACTGGTGGACGTAATGGAATTTTCATTATGAAAATGATTGAATCCCAGTTTTCTTATTATATTTGTTATTTAAATAATTAAATAAATATTATTGTCATATTTACAAAACTACTTTTAAATTAAATAATTAAATATAATATAAAAAAATAAAAAATACTAAAAGAAGATAAAAGAAGAAATTTTGCTTAAAAAAAATCTTCTTTTAGTATAAAAGAAGATAAAAGAAGAAATAATAAAAGAAGATTTGCCAACCATGCATGCCACTCCTAACACCCATAATTTTAACAAAATCACTTAATTTATTGTAAGCAGTAAGCATTACAATCTAACTATATCTTCCTCGACTATTAGGCAGACGCCCTTACCTATCTTTATCGCTTTTAGACATTGTAAAATGATTAAACTCAACTCGTTTATACCGCAAATTTTTGCTTTTTGTCCGCCATATTTGTTTCTTGTTGCCTTGTCGGCCTAGACCCAGACTCCGGCGCGTTGATATTCGAAATATGGTAGCCCGCGTGCAGGCCCAAGGGAGCAGGCTCAAGGGGCTAGAAATATGGCGGCCAAAATGGATTCCAGAAATTAGGGCTGCGAGTTCTTTTTATAATTTTATCTCGAATTTTCTAGCAAATTTAATCGATTTAACGGCTGTTTCGTTGCGTTTTTAAGCACAAAAACCTTTGATTTATATTGCTGAATGATAAAAGTAATCTAACAATGGCAGAAATCGATATAAAATTGCCATATAAACTACCATCGTATCACGACTGGCAGCCACATGCGACCTTCTACCATCCGTTGTACGCTGGGAGCATAGATGGAACAGACCTGTATCCTCATGACAGAGCTGTGGTGAGAGCAATGTTGTCTACATGTATGTAAATGTTTTCAATCCATTTCTTGGTTGTGTAAGAATTTTTTTTTGAGGGGGGGGAGTTTGTCAGTTTGACGATTTATATGCCTTATCCATCCTCCCCCCTGGCTGGAAAATTGGAAATTGCACACCTGGTAATTTGAAAGTGCAACACAATTTTGTGTATCTAAGACCCTGTTTACATGGTACCGGACGAATTTGGGGCCGGTCTGAAATTTGTCCCTTTTCGCCTGTTTACATGCAAATTCGTCCTGGTAGGGGGTCTCAAATTCGTCCAGTTCCGTGGTTCTCGTGTGTTTACCCGGCAGAAAAGGGACGAATCTCAGACCGGTTCCAAATTTGTCCAGTACCGTGTAAACGGTCTAAAAGTAGCGCAGTCAGAGAAACATGAGGCATTTCATTGGGGTCGACCACGTACTCCACTGGCGTTTGTTGGCAACGGTGCACTTGGCACCTGGTTTTCTCATCTCTTAATAACACCATAACCTGTCGCCCACAACAAACTCCAATGAGTTAATCAAATCACATTTCATTTGGTATACCAAAACTACTGGTATTGAATTCATTATTGGTATATTGGTATCAATGTTTTCCAGATGTCACACTTTTCATATGCCACACCTTCTGTAAATGGAGCTGAATTTATTAACCCATTAAGCTGCAGAGCTTCCCCATTGACGAGTAAAATCGTCTGGCATTAGACAAGGGTGCACTGGGGCGCATTGCGGCTCAATGGGTTAACTAGAGACATTATCAGATTTTTGGTTAACCCATAAAGCTGCAGAGCTTCCCCATTGACAAGAGAAATCGTCTGGCATTAGACAAGTAAAAAAATAAGCATGGCACACTGAGGTGCATTGCGGCTCAATGGGTTAATGTTTGAGCTCTGTGCATTTGGTACACAAAAATTTTCAACTGGTGAAACAGCATTGAGATGTTGCAAAGTAAATTCACCTTTTCGTAAGAGATGGTAAATCCTGTAAGTATATTTTACCAAAATTTTGTAGATAAACCAAACAAAAATGTGAACGGCGATCAAAGCAAAACATTGTTCGTTGCCAGACTGAGTAAAGACACTGGTCAAGGTATGAAGACATTGATATATGTTATAAAATATAAGGAGAATTTCAACGTTTTGAGCGAGGGCCCTTCGAGTTAATCCTTATATTTTTCAGGCACTTGCATCCCTACTATGATATTTTACTCTGTCTGATGATAGACGATTTTAGTTATCAATGGAAAAGTGTTGTGACTGCATGAGTGGGTTAACTATTCTTGCAGATACAATCCAGAATATTTTTGAAAAGTATGGAGAATTGGAGAAATGTCGATTGATTCGAGATTTTGGTAAGTTAGGTGCCCATGCATTCAGATTGAAAATACAATTAGTGAGATAGAGGTAGGATAATGAAATAATTACTGTATTGCTTATTAGATTTTCTAAAAATTACTTTGTAGTTACTGGCTTTTCACGAGGATATGCATTTGTGGAATTTAAAAGAAAAAAAGATGCCATGAATGCAGCTAGGGTAGGTTGAAATTGGATTCAATAATTATTGTTAAATTGAAATAAATAACAAATATCACATACTGTATGATGACTTCCTTACTGTTTGTGATATAGTGTTAATCAAACATAATCTGTCTTTCACAAATAGTACAACTTGTGTGTTGTTTTTCTATGATTCTATGAAAGTGAGTAATGTTTTTTCCATTGAAATATTTTGACTCCAACAGGAAACACATGACATGAACATTGATGGCAGACAGATTTTAGTTGACTTTGAATGTGAGCGAGATTTAGATGGTTGGAAACCTCGTCGCTTTGGTAATATGCGTTTATTTTTTTTATGTATGACTTATTATAACTACTGTACATTTGCAAGGTTGTTGCAATTGATTCAGAATAGGCGTTGCAATTGAAAAGACGTTGCAATCAAATAGGTATGCATCATTGGTAAAATGCACATCTTAACTCATTAAGTTGCATTGTGTATCAAGGCAGACTTGTTTAATTTCAACTAAATGTGGTCTGTTAGGTGGCGGCTTCGGAGGTCGAAAAGAATCGGGACAGTTGAGATTTGGTGGAATTGACAGACCTTTTAGACGGCCAATGTAAGTTTTTGTTCAATTATGTAATTAAGTTCCTATTTTATTCTGTGCAAATTTATGATGTATTTGTGATGTGAGTGATGATCATGTTGTCAAAGCATATAAACTGTGAATTTAGAGAGAACATAATATCTTTGCCCTATCAGCCTATCATTATTACTATTTTTGTAATCCTGAATCTAATCTAGTCACCCTGCCTAAAATTTTGTCATGATTGCTATTTTCATAGTCCTGAAAAAGTTAATCACTTTAATCGAGGCATTCAGCGCGAAGGCAGTGTCCGCTTTCAAGATTCAAGAGAGGATGAAGGCAAGATGAATCGGGATCGTGAAAGACAGGGTACGCGTGAGAGGGATCATGATGGATATGATAAGGATAGCAGAGGTCACGTTAGGGATCGGGATTATACAGATCGAAGGGGTTATAAATGCAATGACAGGGATAACAGGAGTGAAAACAGGGATTATAAGGAACATAATAGGGGTAACAGAGGTCATAATAAGGATTGTGATGATGATTACAAGAGTAGCAAGAGATATAAAAAGGATCATAAAGACAGAGATTATAGAGACAAAAAGGAGTACAGAGACAAAAAGGAATACAGAGACAAAAAGGAGTACAGAGATACACAGAGGGACTATGGAAGACATGATCGTCGGGACAGAGATGATCATTATAGGGATAGGGATGATCGTTATAGGGACAGAGATGATAGATACAGGGATCGAAAGTATAAGGACAAAGAGGGTAGCAGGGACACAAGAGATGAAGTCAGAAGTGATACTTCAAATAGTTCAAGAGATCCAGACTGAAGACATTACTACAGATGATGACAGTGCATATATATATATACACGACATGACAAAAAATATCACGTACAAATATTAGGCTAGTTTTATTAGCCAATCAGCATAAACCATAAACTACTTTCATGCTGATTGGCTGAGCAAACTAAAAACATTCAGAACAGACTATGACCATTAATGTATTGGTAAGGGGGTGATTGAATTTTTTCTGGAAGGAATGTTGAGACTGCTGATGTCAGCAATTAATTTCAATCCTAATATTATAATAAAGAATCACGATTATTCAATTTTGAGGTTCTGAAATATTATTTTTGTTTACTGTTTTAATACAGAATATATGGTATATACAGAATATATGATATTTTTTAAAACTCTAAAAATACTTTTCACTTTTGTGTTTAAAAATGGAAATTGCATCAGGCTTTTATCGAATTCTACGTAAGCCGGAAAATCATTACGGTCTTGCCCATTTCCGACCACAAATACCGTATTGAAAACAAATTCTTATTCTTACAATTTCTCTCGAATTTTAAAGTATAACAAGTCTGTTCTATTTTAATACATTAATAAACGAAGCTTCAAAATCTTTGTGCTTCTACTTAAAGTAAAATAAAATTGTCAATATTTTTATACAAGAGGAATTTTGCACAATTATTTATTAGCAATTTACATGACAACAATTTGAATAAGCTATTGAAATTGGGCATTTTCCGCTATTGTCAATATTTGCCAGAAAATTAAAATTTCAGTGTTTTATTATTTTTTCCGACCAATCAGAACGGTTATTGAATATTCTATTAGCAATTTCAACCAATAGGAAGCGTTTCTCTGTCGCACTTTTGCATTTGCCAACACAAGCAAGCATCTTGTTCAGAAATTATTAACCAAAATCTAAGCCTGTTTGTCGATAAATAAAGCTGTTTAAACAAGCGTCTATTGGAATTTATCTTAATATTGAAGCCTTTTGGTTATGGCATTCGTTTGAGGATAAAATTTATCGGCAGAACGGGTTGTTTTCTGGCAATTTGGTGCTGTAGGCGAATTGTTACATTTTTGTATAGTACAAGTTTGAAGGACCAAAGAGGAAGTGTGTCATTTTGCCTTGAAGTTTTGTCTGGAAATGTACCAAAGACGCCGGTAAGAGTATTAGAGTGTAAATATGAGCGGCCGAGACATACCTTTATGGAAACAAGAGCTTTTGAAGCGAAAGCAAGCGAAATTAAGTCACGAAAAGTTAATTTCAACACAAAAATCGAACGAATCGAGCTCAAAGACTCGAGTTAGCAATGCTATAAAAAGTAATTCTAGTGCTTTCAATCACCACTTAACTGACTCAGAAAAGGGTAAAACAAATGTTTCGGATAAAAATAATCGCGATATTGTCCATAACACTAAAAAAGGGAGCTCATATAATCGACATATTATATTGCCTGGCTCTGTTGACACGCGTCAAAGTCCTCAATCAAGTGGCAATGTCAAGTCTGTGATATCAAGTGTGGATACTGGACCAAGCCGGCTAGAAAGATTTGAAGATAAACCGAGTAGGAATATAGGAATTTACAATAAAAATTATGGTGCAAGTGGGAGCTATAGTATGCCTGGAATGCCACAACACAACAGGGTGCATCACAAAAACGACGAAAGGTCGAATAAAACAACAGATAACAGTAAAACAGATAGACTGAGCAATCCGGCCATTGGACAAGGAGTCGAACGCGACCACATCAGCCCGCGAGACGTCAAAAAGATGTGGCAGCTTCAAGCTACAAAAGATGAAACCTTGCCGAAAAGCCATGTTACCAAAAACCCTGCCTTGACCAAACATGACCCACACCCTCCTAACAATGAACTACCAACTCAGATTAACACCCAAGCGGGGTCCAATCCCACCTCGGTTCCTAAGGCTTACAAATCACCATATGCAAAAGCAAATTGGCGTCGACCAGCGTCGGTTAGTGATGAAAAATCGGTCAAAACCAACACGACATCACAAGCAGTTCAAAAAAATGAAGTCAAGTCGCATACTGTTAAATCACCAATAAGCAATGGTATGGCTAATGATAATGAACATGGAACAGGAGAAGATGGCGTCGAACATATTCAAAGTGTCAAGTCGTTACTTGGGTTGTTTGGCGGAAGGGCGAGGCCGAACATTAATCGAAAAGTCAGCGACAATGTTTTGGCGAGTAACAAAAGTGGCAAGGACTATCGTACTTCTGAAATTAAGACATCGTCAAGTAAGAAACCTGGTCTTTTTAAGCATCATTCTGAACCAAATCTATTCCTCCATACTAATAACGACGTCATTAGAGACATGCCAACTAGTCCTAAAAAGTCGCCGACAGCCGAGGTAGTTGTCGAGGACGCTGCCCTACCCTCTCACCACGTCTCGCAAGGCATCAAAGAACGAATGACAAGATTACGGAGAGCATCCCATTCTAACATGGAAGACATGGAAGGTTTCGTTGAGTACCAAAATGGGTTGAACAATGACTCTGAGACAATACATGTCACGAAAAACAATGAATCGCAACAGAATCAACTCAATCGAAAGCAAAGTCCACAAGAGAAAGATATTCCTGAAAAAATATCTGTAAGTAAAATAGAAAACAATAAGCAATCGACAATTCCAAAACAAAGCAATGTTCCCGAAAATGGTTCTAGGCTAGATAGCAATAAGCAATCTGTTGTAAGAACACCCATGGACAATCAGAATCGAGAAGGTCCATTTACAGGTAACAGTGTTACAAACAGTACTCAAAAACAAAACACTCGAAAAAAAGATAGTCTTCATGACAATTATTCTAGACTAGACAACAGTACGCAAGACGCTGTTAAAACTTCGGTCGGCAAGCAGAACCGACAAGATTTGTATAATAACGTTAAAAAAACAGCTGTGCAAAGTGACAATGAAAAGCCGAGATTATCCTGTAGTGTAAATAGTAATAATAGACTCACAAGTCCAGTTAACCATGCTCCAAACAGCATTGAAAAGCACGATAATACTGCCCAAAACAGTATTACCGAAATCAAGAATGAAGTGCATGATCAAAATTCATCCGAACAATTGTCTGATAACCTATTGCCGGTGTTCGAATCTGGAAGTCCTAAAAAACCAGCAATCAGGCTGGACTTGACTGACACAAACGAACATAAATCCAAGCACAAATACCAGAGCAAACAAAATAATTATGCTGTTGAAATTGACCAATCAGGTTCTGGCTTACATAATGATGTTGTGTCAACGAAGTGCTTAACCGAGATTAAGCAAATCAAACAAGAAGCACAACCGGTTATTAAAAACAAGGAAACAGTCGAGGATAAACCGACCAAGAAGCCCCGAAGAAAGGGCCTAAATGTTGTCGATCCTTTGGCAGTATTACAGCTCACAAAAGATCCGATTTTATTAAAAGAAAAACCAGCAGAAGCTGAGCTTGGTATATTCAAACAGTCGCCCACTGGTAAAGTTGAAATAATCAAAAACGAACCGGATAAGAAGAATCAAATTGCACAAATCAATCGGGCTTGGGACCTCGATAATAGCAAGCCAATTTTGAAACAAAACAATGTAGGTCATAAAAATATGCCTGCTTCTACCATACAAGGTTCACCTATGACACCTCATAGTGTTCCTGTTTCCTCAGTTGACGAAATTCCAGTTTCGGTAATCGACGATTTTACTTCTAACAAGTTGAATGCAGCTGTGCAACCGAAACCTAACGTACACAGTGATGGTGTAAAAATTGGTAATACAACATTTTATGATGGTACTTTATCATTGGGAAATGGTAACGTTGAGACAGCACTCCCAGAAAGCGACGAAGAATTTATACCTGTATCGTCAATTGATTCCGAAGCTGATTTAGGACCACCACCTGAGATTATCTTTGACAAAATGCCAAAGAATTTGAAGTCATCTTTTGCACAGAATGGAAAGGTATTCATTTTTGTTATTTTTTATGTATTCTAAGCTTGTTCATGTGAGCCTGGCTATAGCCGGGATGACAAGTTCAAACATATTAAAATTCGATTACATTGAGTGTTTTAAGCCCCGTTTACTCGAGCAAATTTTATTTGACAAATTTCATTTGATCAAAAGCTACCATGCTAGCTTTTGTTCAAATGCATTTGTCACAATAGATTTGTCACAAATTTATCACTACACAAGCAAAATAAATTGACATATGAAAGTTGCCAAATAAAATTTGCTCGTGTAAACTGGGCTATAGCCGGGCTTGATTTCAACTTGTTTAACTGGGCTAAAAAAATTTCTCTATTACACAGAGAATTTTAACCTGAGCCGCGGAAATGTTATCTTACGTACTTTACTTTATTTTTTCACTCTGTCTAACACCAGATGATTTTACTCATTAACCCATTGAGTGGCAGCACTGTCCCCCTGATGAGTAAAATCGTCTGGCATTAGACAGAGTAAAATAATAAAGTAGGGTGCATCTGGGCACATTGCCACTTAAAGGGTTAAGGGGAATTCTGGCGCCCAAGCAGTGGCGTAACGTTATATCAGGGGGCCCCCAGTTCCAAATTTTCGAAGGCCCCCTAGTAGAAGTGCCAAAGGCACGAGTCGAGCGCCGTATATGCACAAGTTTTCTGGGGGGTCCAGGGCATGCTCACCCGGAAAATGTTTGAATCTAGACTCTCTGAAATGCCATTTCCCGGACTTTGGGGAGAGATTTTACAGAACTCTGATGGTCAGAAAACGACATTGTGACATATCAGAGGACCTGGCCAAGGTTTTTGCGCTACAGCCTGAGCCTGGGGGCCCCCATTTGGCCCATTGGGGTTGGAGGCCCCCGGGTTTACCCGGTCTGAACCCATAGTAGTTATGCCACTGTGCCCAAGATATATACTAAGAACATATTATTCTTTTCAGAAACGAGGAAAAATTTCATTCTTTGAACATGTGTTCATACACGACTACCAATCAGAAACAGCTGCGACATCTGATTGGGACTTCGAAAATGGAACGTCATTTAGTTCTTACACTCCTGCGGCAGTGAAACAATACGAAGACGTGAGTAAGTCGTATAGTGCCGAACCTACCCCCGTGCCCCAACCCGTAATCCCACCTACTCCTGTGGAGGAAACTCGGTATGATGAACCAGTGATAACTTATAATGAGGAGGAATCTGTAGACTTCACAGAGTCTAGTGATAGTACAGCTGGGGCATTGCTGTTTTAAGTTGCCAACTGCAAATTTGTGCAGTAAATTATATTTTATTATTACCAGAATTCGGTTTAAATAATTTGCCAACATTTCACAAAAATTAGGGGTGCTAATTTAGTTCATCAATTTCTGTTTCTGCAAATTTAAATTTTGGAAATTTTTTTGGCTTAAATTTCTTTCAAATTCGGTTAAACATAGGTTTTCATGGCATGGTTTTCATATTTGTGCATGTTTATTGTGATAGGTAACAGTTTAAAAGTTTGGGAAAGGGCGTCCCCTTCGCCCCCTCCCCGCCATAGTGTCCGCGTGTTGCATTGAAAATCTGTCAAATTTCAAAATATTTTCCAATGCCAGAAAAAAAACTTTAAAATCCAAACGTTTACATTTGTATGACTGTTTGATATTTTGGGTTTCAGAGAAACCCTGAAAAATTTAGGTGTTGACATTTGTGTCAAAATTAATACGTTGACATTAATCAACTGATATTTATATTGAATAACATTAATTAATAATATAAGTAATAAACAAGTAATAGTGATTGTATAAAAAATACAACTAAAAATAAAATGGCACAATAATTTATGCTCTAGTATAACATAGTTATTGCATTATTTAACTCAGTTTGTTAAAGTTTTAGTTATAAATGCCTTAGAGTCCAGGATTCAAAATAACGGCCGGTCAACGGACAACGTAGTAACCTACCGGCCAAAAATGCCTCTTCACCGGTCACATTTTCATGCCTTCCATGTGATTGCTGACGTCTTGAATTAAAACATGAAATGATGAAACTATGATGTATCGAAACAAATTTCTAATAGTTTGTTTCACTGATAGTGTAAGCGTATCAATCACCGATCAAAAACAGATTTTGAACGAGCTAAAATCAAGTTGACTGGAGACCCATCTCCCGTTATTTTGAGCCCTGGCATTAGCATCGCATAATTGTGTAAAGCAGTATTTGAAATAATAAACTCATATTTATAGTTATAGAAATTAGCCAATATTAACAATAAGTTATTCCGATGGCACCGATGAAAAACGTTATCGGTGCCGTCGTTCGCTATTGATGATTTTTGACGTAATATCTTTGGTATTCAGTGAGATTCATTAAGCGTTAAAAAAAGGCAAGTTGTTACAGGTCTGCAAACAAGTTGTTACAAATCTGTTCACAAGCTGTCGACAAGTTGTGTTCGCACTGCTTGTTCCCAGTTGTTGTAACAAGTTGGAACAAGCTGTTAACAACTTTTAACAAGTTTCATGGCATTATCAGACTTGTAGCAAAGTTGTTCTAACAAGTCTGATACAGTCATAATATAACAAGAATGTTACAACGTTGACGACACAAGGTTGTAACAATATTGTTGTATCATGACTGTTATCGGACTTGTTGGATCAACCTTGGAACAAGTCTGATAATATCAACAAGATTGTTACAAGTTGTTAACAGCTTGTTCCAAACTTGTTGACAACTTGAGACGAGCAGTGCGGACACAACTTGTTGGCAGACTTGTTACAAGATGTGAGATTTTTACGCGTGCCACAAAGCTTGAGAGTTGCCACTTGCCAGTCACGCGATCTGGGTTAGCTGTTCTTGATGCTTTCCTAACCCTATCAAGTATTTTATTTAAGTTAATGTGGTTAGCACACTCGGACCTTAATTTTGTTAATCTGGAGTTTCAACTCGTTTGAAGAAATGAATTAACATATTTTCTCACTCTAATAATTTCTGCTTGACCAGCAGCTGCTGTTTGGTATAGCGCTTAATGAAATCCACCAATACTACGACTCGATATGATAAACAATGTACACAAACTGTACATGATAAGACACTGTATTTTGTAATTTAGTTTAATGACGGCTTAATGGCTGCGGTTTATTTAATTAGGAAATAATTGCCAATTAACAAATTTATTAACTAAACCGAGTATTGATTCTTCTACCGTAAAAGCGACTAGAATGCAGGGGCGAAAGGCGGCAGGTGTACCCCCCCCCCCCCCCCCCCCCCCCCCCCCCCCTAATTAAAAGGGGCTAGTTTCGCCCCTGCTAGAATGAGCTACGATTTTATGCTGAGACGACTCCGAGCGTGCCAGTTTTCTCGTGTGAAAAAGCACTGAAATATAAATAAAAGACCCTATATGTCTGGGCTGAGTTATCAGTGTTTATGACTAGTGTCTTAAAGTTGATCAGTGATCAATCTGCCCTTTCATATAGCTTGGCGATGACCCCTTGTCGTAAGCCAAACACATCGTCTCCACGCCCCTTTCCCAGCGAGGTAGGGGCGCAGAGGAAAAAGCCTGAGAACGCGGTTGGCCGAACCTATAATATAAACTCTCGTCCCCAGAGCCATTTTCACTCGGTCACTCGTTGAAAATTAGGCTCTGGATTAAACAACTAAAGGGAGAGATCTGATTGGCTTCTCAGAGAACTGCTATTTCGGTATTTCCCAGAAGTTGAGCAATATTTTCGCTAGGACAAATTTTTCTATCAAAATATGTCAACACTGTCACAAATACTTCGTTTCTTCGTAATACTTCTTTGGTGATTCCCCTTATTACGTTTTCGTAGCGCTTTGCATTGTGGTTATAGTGGTATCACCGATAAAGATAGTGGCCTGGAATGAAAATCAGTGAATGTTTTCGCGAATATTTTGCTGTTGGCTATCGCGCACCTGACACTAGTTTTTTTTTAAAAGTTCTTGCACGGGTCAGGACAAAAAATAAGCCATCTTGAATGTGAGTGATACCACTATAACCACAATGCAAAGCGCTACGAAAACGTAATAAGGGGAATCTAGTATTGTTACTGGTGCTGAAGCGTACCAATTCAAGAGCATGCGCTTTTCTTGCACTTCCGGTTCCGTGTATCCCAGGGCCGAAGGTCGCGCGCGACCGAGAGGCCCTGGGAACGAGGATGATAAATGTCCTAAAACTCGTCGATTCTCCTCAGTTGCCTTTGGTTCGCGGTGCATGAAAAGTCAGTCGAACTATAAGTGTGAAACCTCTCGTAAACGTCCTTTCAAGTTTCAAAGAATATTGTGGGTTAACAAATTACACCACTATAAATAATAATGTTCCGCTTAGCATTAACGGTGTTCGTTTTATGTTTGCTAATTCCACCAACAGTACAGAGGTTATGTAAAAGTATCACCACAGGAAAGTTTTGTTCAAAGGAGTGTTGTGGGAGCACTAACGGTCTTTTGCGTTGCCTCAGCAGCTGTGTTGGTTTATCGTGCTCTAGTTCAGCCGAATGCGACAGTAGCTGTTGCAAAAATGGAAGGTAGGTACATAGATAGATGCATGTTTTGAAGAGGAGATATCTTTTCCGTTATGACTACATTTGCGCAAATTCATATGTGGATATGATCCAATGCGCTGTACATCATGTGCTGTGACGCTTACCTAGTTAGCCTAGACTATTTTATCTTAATTAACAACAATTGTATTATTACTTTCTTAAATATCAGAGGAAACCGAAGCACCCGAACGACTTTCGGCAGAGCGTTGGCTGATTCTTTTCACATGAGTCCGTAGCGAAATCCTTATCGAACCTCGGTCTCTGGCAGCTACGCCACTGAAGCCACCCTACATTTATTAGAGACCTTACGATTTTAGGAGTAATTACAATATATGAATAATTTAGGCATTGTCCTCGCTCTGTTTACAACTCTAAAGCACAGATTTTCACGTGTTGATACAACGGCTGCATTCCAAGCCACAACAAGTGCAACTTCAAACTGGGTTTAGCAGAACTCTTCCCAACCATAAAACCCATCTCTTCAACTTCTAAGGACTAAGACGATTGATAATATACGACAAACTATCTTTACTACCATTTATTTGAAGGAGTTTGTTTTGGCCGTCGCGTTTCCGTCCTAAAATCGTAACGTCTCTATTATTATCAAAACTTTATTTACACACGCCGGAGTCCATTTCACAAAATGCGCTCTTCCGTGGAGCCGTGTACATTAAACATGTCTACATAATACTATTACAATTACACTGACTAAGAATCACAATATACTAAAGAAAAGTAGAAGAAAATTAGGTTTGTCTAGTAATATTTTTGAAATTAACTGCAGATGTAGCATTTACAGCTTCGATAGGTAGGCTATTCCAATATTTCCGCAGGACGGTGCCTCTATATATAAGTAAAACGTTTCTTAAGAGACTCAGTCAGAGGTCTTGCGGCAAAAAGCTTAGAATCAGAGTGCCGAAGATCAGTGTGGCTGTGTATCACATTAGTTGGTGTGGATTTGCTTGAAAGATAGTCGGGTACCATTTTGTTGAGTGTTTTATACATTAAGACCTCAAATTGCTGAATTTCTTTAATTTTTATCGATTCTCAACCGGCAAACAAACTTGAGAACAGGCGTGGAAAATATATTTCTTTCCCAGGAAAATCCAAAAATAAACATTCCCTGTGTGTAAGTCAAATATCAAACACTTCCTGCACTTATGTAAATGTCAGAGAACGTATACTCGACTTGCAAAATACTTTTGGAATATCTGTTACACAAGATGACAATAAAGTTTCCTACGAAGTTATTTTGTTAAAAAGTTCTTTTATTAAAGGCTTTAAAAAGTATGTTTAGCGGCTTCACTCAGTGCCTATCTGGTATGCTTCTCAAGTGGTAAATGTATTTAAAAAGGTAGCTAATTATACAAATTAGAAAATGAAGCTAAAAGACGATAATTTTGAGAAGTTCATCGCAAGTGCCTGACGTAGAAAAAAAGTTGCCCTCTTAATAAAACTTTGATTTTGCAAGACAGTTCAGATAGTCGTATGATACGGACACGAATGCAAATTTTAGTGCATGGTTCTTTAATTTTAGTGCATGGTTCTTTGATTCAGTAATTCTAGCAGGTGTATAGTGGGAAAAGTTTCTGATGAAGAAGATACCGTAACAGTCAATATATATATACTTCACACTTAGAGGTTACCACAAAAACGTTATCATGGGCCGTATACAGCCAATTCAAAAAAGATTGTCGTTTGCAAACCCACTCCTTAAACTCCAAACCTTAAACTCTAAGCGCGCAAAGCTTAATGGGAGCACAAGTTGCAAGCTTAGTAGTTGAATATTGTAGCTATATTTGCGAATGAATTGTTCCCGTAAGGAGATATGTACCATGTGTGTAAGAAATGGGCCCCATATATGTTTTTCTAAACTGATTAAATTATGCTTCCATTATCTTTGCACGCTTAGATTTAAGGTTGAATCAGCTGTATAAGCTGAGTCCTGGGTAACTGCATGATTAATTAAGTCGTATTAGTCTTGAACTTCCTAACAGGATGTTTGAAAGTTGAACTTCCCGCTGCGTGGGATCCCGTTGAAGTAATCATGTGGGGTAATCTCAAAGACAAAGGTTGCCACTGCACCCAGTTTCGTCATGCAAAACGTTAACTCCAAGAGGAATCATCAGGTGGCTGACAAATTTTTGAATGTTTGCTGTCAAAACGTATAGCCTATAGGAGTTCAAACGAACAATATATGCAAATGCAATCTCTTTTATCGGTGATGTGTTAATAGCTCATGAGGTGTTAGAATATAATCTCATAAGAAAAACGTGAGTTTTCTTCGGGCGTTCTATGCTTGTATGGCTATGTGAATTCACTTAACTATTGACTATTGCTAGCTACTTAACTCTTAAGGGTTGTTTTTAAAAGAACGATATTGTCGATAAGTACTTTTAATTGGAAAATAAAGTTTAGTACTGTATACGTTGGCGGTTGCCAAACTCCAAAAATGGTTCCGCTGAGCCGGTTTTGTCAATTAAAATATTCTTTTTGCAATTATCAAATGATTACCCTTGCTTTTATGTCTGCCGGCTCTTGAAAAAGATGCTTCTATCCACGTTTATAATTGTGATGTCCCTGCCTTTCTTTGTGTTATAATTTATTTTATAACTTAAATTTTTTTGTATTATTGGCGACGCCGCTGAATAAATAAAGAAAGAATGATATAAACAGAATAAAACTGTAGGCAAAAACTGATTGTCAACGGTCCAACAACTTGTTGTAGCAACTTGATAAAATAACAGCATTGTTACAGCTTGTTGACAAGCTTGCTACAAGCCTGTGAACACATCTTGCTGACAAGTTGTGAGATTCGCACAGCCCTAAAGGCCTAAACATAATTTTTTATTGTTTTGTAACTGTTAAGCGGGTCAGGCCATGGCCATGGGTCAGCCGTTCCGCACGTTGTAACCAATAATCTATTGCAGTTGTAAACCCATTGTATGCAATAAGTATTGGGTTGTAATGGGTTTACAATTACAATAACCCTAATCCAAACGCTAATCCTAACCTCTAACCCTAAAGTTGATGACCTCCTCTTTTTTAACAATCTTTTTAACCCATCTGCAGTTCATTGTGTTTTCAAACTGATGCAAAGACACCGGAAGATGTTCCGCATTGTTTTCAGCCTTGATATATGTCCCAAGAATACACTTCCACTAAAGCCAAACGTCATAAAATATAAGCATGGGATATTAAGAAAAAAAACTTCAACATACTCACGTTTAATGGTGCTGTTATTATCATCTCTCCCACAACGGTTTCTACGCCAAGAATGTAATGTATCCATAGGAAAAGCAATATTTTACTTCCATACTTCAATAATTTTTTTTTCACAAGTTAAAAAAATGAAGAAAAATCGCCAAAAACTGTCAAAAAAGACTGAAAATCAGAGAAAATCAGATCTGTTGTTGCTTGATTTTCGCTCGCCCCAGATCACTGCGCATCACACGTCGATCAGTGATGCAATAAGTATTGGGTTGTAATTGGTTTACAATTACAATGACCCTAGTCCAAACGCTAATCCTAACCTCTAACCCCTAACCCTAAAGTCGATGACCACCTCTTTTTTAACAATCTTTTTAACCCATCTGCAGTTCATTGTGTTTTCAAACTGATGCAAGACATCGGAAGACGTTTCGCATTGTTTTCAGAGCCAAACGTCATAAAATATAAGCATGGGATATTAAGAAAAAAACTTCAACATACTCACATTTAAAGGAGCTGTTACTATCATCGTTGTAAAATATATTTTTGCCGCCATGCATGGAGTCGGCAAAGACCAAGGTTAAATGGTTAATATTCCATAATAAATCTTTCTCCCAACAGTTTCTACGCAACTGTAATGTATCCATATAGGAAAAGCGATATTTTACTTGTATATACTTGAATATTTTTTTTTCACAAGTGAAAAAATGAGAAAAATCGCTAAAAACTGTCAAAAAAGACTGAAAATCAGAGAAAATCTGCTGTTGCTTGATTTTCGCGCGAAAACACGCTCGCCCCAGGTCACTGCGCATCACACGTCGATCAGTGAAAGAGTTCAGATCACTGGACTACCCTACCCCATTCATCCCGAGAATGTACCCTATTTCGCCCTATATATAAGCGCCCTGTTTTGCTCGTTCTAGATGCACGAGATGTAGCACAATCACTATCACCACCTCAAAAACAACCTCGATAGGATGGGTGAAATATGCAGTGCCCGCTGTTGTTGTAATATTGATCATTCTGTTTCTCGTGTGGAAATTCTGGTGGGTGCCAAAAAATCGCCGTCCGGCGCGAGCCGCTCCTACAGGTATGGTAATATAGACCGCTGATCAAACCAGAATGAGAATTGATGTGAGCTGACAGGCAAGAGTTTGCGTGAGAGTTTTTTCAATGGCTCTGTAAAACGAGAACAAGAATTGAACCAGATCAAAGTTGATTACAGAGTGCACGAGAAAGGTAAGCATTGTCTGGATAGAAATTTATCAATTAACCCCCTTAAATTTGCTTAAATTTACACTACACAACTTTTGCCTAAAACAGTGTCCCATGCAACCTGCTTACAACTTGAGTTGTACTGTGTAAATCAACACACTGTCATCAGGGCCGCCGAGAGGTTGAAGGGGGCCCGGTGCAAATTTTTTTTAGGGGCCCCTATCTAAAGAATTTTTCTGGAAAAAAATTTTTTCGGAGAACGACCCCTCCCCCCCCCGTCGAAAACTTTTTAGGTAAAAAAATTTTCCGGGACGAGTACGTTGCAATTGCTTTCCAGGGCCTTTATCTCATTTTTTCATGCCAAATTTTGGTACTTAGCCAAAAAAACCAGATATCTTGTCCTTTGTGCGGAAATATTTAATTAACACACAAAAAAGACTGGGGCCCAACAAAAAATTTTCAGGAGCCCCCAGCACCTCGGGCCCCGGGGCAATTTGCCCCCCCCCCCTCTCTGCAGCCCTGACTGTCATACTGCGTGGTTAACCATGAAGCTAGCTTCACTTTTTGAACTCGAGTTCTCGCTCCAGAAATATATGGAGCCTCACTGGTCAACTCACACTAGATTTATTTGTGATTTTTAGCAAATATAAGCGCAACGGTGATCGCCTACAGACATGAACAGCCTACCGAACTGCAGACCCAGACGGCTCCATGGAATATTTCAACATCATCATTTTAACACTTAGTCTTTGTATATTAATTCAGAATACACCGATTTGAATAATCGGTTCGCATCATTTTGTCTACTCTAAGTACTAACAGTTTTAAGACTGACAATTTTTTACATGCTAATTATAAATATAATATGGTGGAATGATTTTTGTGGGTGGATGATTTCGTAGATAATTATACAGCTAAATCAATTAAGGTTGTCCTTACAAAAACTTGAACCTTAAACTCTGCGCGGCAAGGAATGATGGGTTATTGCTTATTTCGACTCCTAAATTTTGAAATTTGGTTTTGCAAGAATACCTAAGACATATAGAAGACTCACGACAGAAAACATACTTGCAGACATATAGAAGACTCACGACAGAAAACATACTTGCTGCAAAGGCAATTTTCTGAGGGCCTAATAGGTGAAAACCCATCATCCCTTGCGCGCTCATAGTTTAAGGTTTTGGAAGGACATCCTTAAGTAAATCAGCTGTATACAATTTTAGGCCTAACTAAGAGCAGTAGCGAAATATGCAACTATAAGCCCTCTGGCAGGAATAGAATACATGAAGTTGTGGTTACAGCTCAACAACTGGCCTCTGTAGCAGGGTTCGTAGTCTCCAAGACCAAAAATATTCAAAGACTTTCAAAGATTTGTTCTGCCTATTTTCACAGACTTTTCAAAGACCTTTGAGAGTAATCAGCTGTCGAAAAATTGCACAGAGTGTAAGCACCATTTTTACCCAGTAATTAGTCCCGCCACATCACATCTAAAAGTGTACCTTTTCGTCGATATTTGCGAAAATCTTGCTTCAATCAATCTATTTTATTAGCTAGGAAATCGTATAATCAATTCCTCACTAAAGAATTTAAAGACTTTTAAAAACTTTCTTCGCTTTTTCACCCAATTCAAAGACTTTTCAAAGACCTGAATTGAAATTTAAAGACTTTGAAGGATTTCAAAGACCGCTATGACGAACCCTGTGTAGCTCAGTTGGTTAGACGAAGGGCCTTCGCTCGAAACGCGGAAGTTTTGCTTGTATTGTTTGGAGCCGTTGAATCTATATCCATCTGAATTTCTCTGATGTTTTTGTAGTACTATCTTAAACCGTTCAAATTTTGATTCCACTGGTGTACCTGTTTTCAAAAACGTCTCTTGCTTAACCCTTTACGTGGCAATACACCCTGATGCGCCCCACTTTATTATTTTACTCTGTCTAACGCCAGACGATTTTACTCCTCAGGGGAAGAGTGCTGCCATTCAATGGGTTATTAAACTCTCTATTAAGGCCCAGATGAAACGCCGCCCTTTTTGAAGTGCCGACCATGACGTAAGCTCTTTGTTTGAGCTGAGTTGCATTAGCTACGGACATGATGAGCTCCACGTTCGAACGTAAAATATTTCGATTTGACAACAATTGCAAGTTTTAATAGTCGCTTCGTATTTCTACTAGAGGAATTAGAAACTACGACCATTAAATCTGTTAAGTGCATCTTAATTTAACCATAGAAATATTAGACCTTTGAAATATTAGAATTTGGGAATGAATATACAGGGTGTCTTAAAAAAACCGCTACCCTTGGAAATTCACCATTGTTCTAATTTGAATGCCTGAGTGCTATCTTGAACTCATGGGTAATTTAAGACAATAAATACTCTTTGCTCTGTGCTCAGTTGAGCCATTTGCTTGACATTCACTAATATGTAATTGAACGATTTTCGTGCAGTTATACTTTTGTATGAACTATTTTCAATTCCCAGGATAAAATATTTCGCTTTTCAAGGATATTTTAATTCCGAAGATCTTTAATATATGCATCCTGTGAAAATGTTTACGCATTCACGGCTTCAACAAGGTTCAGGCATTCAAATTAGAACAATGGTGAATTTCTAAGGGTAGCGGTTTTTTTGAGACACCCTGTATATTCAAAAAGCAGGTGAGTGTAGCAAGACTTATATACCATTTATAAAGAACAACTGATCGGCTTTAAAAATACCAAATGAATGCAAAAACTGACTGTCCTGAAAGCCCCATGTAAGCGTGTCCAAGTTCTTCGTCAATCGAGAGTCATCGAGTGCACAAATCTGTCTTTAGTTGTTTTCAAGTTACACGTCTATGCAATTAAAACCTTTAGTGCACACATACGTACATAAAATTCCACTAATCTAAGGGACCGTTCATTATTTATACCCTTGGGCGGGGTGGGATAATTTGAGGGGCGGGGGGGGGGGGGGGG